CATGCGCTGTGCCGACCTAAACACATCATCGCTTCGCACATCAAGTCAATTAAAGCCCATATTTGTCAAACAGGTGGCATCTTGCATCCTTTCTCAGGCAGTCAGCTGGAACGCTGGAACAAAAACTGCTGCTCCCATCTTCCTGAAATAGCAGTAAAGGTGTGGGCTACAATCGTATACATTGTGCTTTTATTTTAGCATCACTAACAAATGGAAACTGGAAAGACAAGAGAAGCTGCATAACAAATCTAAACAGTCTTCTTATGAAACAGCCACACCCTGAAGCGCTCTCATCTGGAGGAGCCTCGCTCCAGCCTCTCAGTATCAGTCTCTGAAAACACTCTGGCATCCCTAAATGTTATTGTCTGCACTGCAGTCCCACCCACATCCTTACACTAACCTTAACCAACTATCTCGCATGTTAACCTTTAAATTCCTGTTGGGATTTCTCACTGCTTCCTGCACTGCTGCGGCTGGTGCTTTGTGGTGTCTTGTGTTTTGATGCTTCCTTCCAAAAAGGAAGTGTTGGAATGAATATGATCCACAAAAATGGAGGGAATGGAAAGAGAGGAGGAGAGCAGTAAGTGGTGAAGAAGAAGGAGGAGAAAGGAGGAGGGGGGAAATTCCATGCTGACACTTCAGGATTGGGAGGACTTTCAGTGATTCTTAGAAAATACACATAATGAAGCCATCATGCAATTAACTGCATGGATAAAGAAAGAAAAGCTGGATCTGGTGGAAGAATATTCAAGTCCTTTGCAAACAAACAGAAGTAACCTCACCGTTAGGCCTTCTCTAGTTCACACACACTCCTATCTTAACATCTTATTCAAATGAGGATGATACAGAATACAGATGCGCCCCAGATACAGAAACAATAATGAAAGTGGATTTTACATAATCAAGGTCCCTTTGCAATATTGCGCTGCTAATTTACAGGGATGAGTTCCAAATTGTTTAAACCACTAGAATAGATTTCATCCAAGTTTATGATTACCTTTCATTGGCAGTGTCTTGTTTTTTGTGCACTGCTAAACAATCAAGTCAAACACACAGCAGTAAATCTGCACCTGAGCCAGATACATGCAAGACTGAAGATTAAAAACGTGTGCAGAGCTGCTTTTTCTGTCACACAGCAGGTATCGGGACCCTAATGATAGAATCAATAAGGCATCTGACCTTTAAACAGACTCGATAGTGGTGCTGGAATCCATAGAAACCTAATCTACCATCTTACTTTGTGTTCAAAGAGCCTGCAAATGCAGTGATCATTCTTGTTAGACAAGAATCTGAGCTATGAGACCTCCCTGTATGACACAAGCTTTATGACTCCAACATGATGTCAGTACATAACAAGCATAAACTGGGGCACTGATTTACTGTGCAAAACTCCCAGAAAGGTCTCATTTTCCTTCGACTCATGCAGATCTTAAAACAAGCAGTTTCTTTGTTTCTGATGTCAACATTAAAAATATTTTTTTAAAGGTTAAGATCAACATTCATCCACAACTGCTGCCTGGAAGTCATCCATTGCCAAGACTTGCATACAAACCAAATAATGCACCTACTGAACCCAGTAGGCTGGCTAAATAGTGCCGTTGGTCATGTGTGAGTGTTTTCCACCTTCCATTAGTGCACACAGAACATAAGAAACTCTTGATTGGAAAAAAAAAAAAAAACTTCCTCTTTTAATTTCTGTGCAAACAAATCTGAACCAACAAGTGAAAAGTTACAGAACTTCTGCAAAAGGCATTAGCATATAAATCCATGAAGGCTACTTGCGATGAGTCACTTTGACGTTATCTTACACATACCACTGTAAAACCAAACGCAGTGCATAAAAGCAACGACCTTCGGCCACTGAAAGAGCTTTGTTACTCGAGTATGTGTTTAAACTGTGCCATAATGTAGCTGTGAGGCGCATGCAAGGTTCAAAGAGGCTAAAATCAGCAGCTCTCTAAATATAATCGAGTATAATTGCCAACATCAGGTGTTACAGCCTACGAGTTTCCATCTGTTTCAAGAATTTAAGAGGCACACACTCACTTGGTTTAGAAATGCGCCTTTTCATCAGAGAAGAAAACACACGTAGCTTCTTTTGTGCAGGGGAGAAAATGTTAAAAACGCGTCAAGGCCAGACTGTCACTCAAACACGGTCAGTTTTCATAAGTGTCACACTTTCTAGCAGCTGCTCAAACGAACACACTACGATTAAGGTTGTTTATTGAAATGTCGCTGCTTGAGTGCCAAAGACGAGTCTGTGGCACACAGAAAGGAAACAGCCAGTCCAAACTCACGTCAGCTAGAAATCTGATTGTGCCTTCTGAGATTTGAGAGGAACTAAAATTAACAGCTATTAAAAGAAATTTCAGTTCACGGTTTTCACTAAAGAAACGTGGAAAGTGATGACAGCAGCGCTCTGGGTTGGCGTTTGGAAAAGATTACACGCGTCACGCACTGGCAAGAAATGCAGAAAAATTAAAGGCTCGGATACTTTGCTTGGCAGCTACGGAGCCGCTGATCTGACGCTCTTTCATGACCACAGTAGAATTTTGTGGGTGTGGGGAAAGCATTTAGCAGGCCTTTTTACTCACTTTCCTGTCATTCACATCCTCCCCGACCGCTTCAATGACCCCGGAGCCCTCCATTCCCATCGTGACGGGCGGGGAAGGCAGCAGCTCATACAGCCCCTGCCTGGCCAGCAGCTCGGCGAAGTTCAGCCCGCATGCCTTGACGCGCACCAGGACCTCTCCTGCCTTCAGCTTCGGCTTGGCCATCGTCTTCACCTGCAGCTTGACTTTGTCGTAGCCCCCATGTCCTGTGAGTACCAGAGCGCGGAAGGAGAGCGGCTTCTCCTCAGCGGCTGGTGCTGCAGCTGGTGGTTCTGCTACAGCTGCTGGTGGTTCTGCTGCAGCTGCTGGTGGTTCTGCTGCAGCTGCTGGTGGTTCTGCTGCAGCTGCTGGTGGTTCTGCTGCAGCTGCTGGTGGTTCTGCTGCAGGGCTGCTGCTGCCTGACTCCTGCTGAGGTGCATCCGAAGCAGCTGAGGGAGGCTCATCAGGCTTTTTCTCCTGCTCAGGCTGTTGCTGCTGAGTTGGACCCTCTTCGCCAGACATGATAACAACTTTCTAAGAGCGCTTTTAAAGCTTTTAAGTTTGACAGTTGCGCCTGTTCGAGCGTTTCTTTCCAAACACTCCAAGAACGTTTAGTGCAAATTCTCTAGTATAAAAATGTGAAATAAGAGGGTGTTTCCTGCAGAGTCGAGTCCTCAGTAAGATGTGCGCGGTTTCCTGTGTATGCGCCTAGATCAACAAGTGCCCAGAGTCAAGAGCGGCGTATTTTATACAAGTTCCCAGAGTGATTTTCACAATAAAATACGGATGCCAATTTACCAAAACGTTTCTTTTCTCTTCTGTTCTTTCTCATTTTTGATGTGGCAGCTAAAATTGAATTCACCAATCCCGCAAGATTTAGATGAGTTTGTTTCAGGTTGTGCAGGTTAAAAAAATAAGAACAATTATGGCACCCGTTGAGAACTGATTTTAAAAAGTCTAAATAAAACAACTTCATCAGGCAATGCATTCATGTCCAATATTTTTCAGGGGATGAAAATGCTGAACACGAAGATTTGCCGACTAAGTAACATAAAAATAAACAATTCATTTCTAATAATATCCGCGTTTTCCTGCATGAGGACTTTAAACACACAAGCATAACAACATTGGATCTACACAACACTTTTTCGGGTACTCAGAAGCGTTAATAGACAAAACTGCTGCTCTTTGCATCCACTGAGCTCCACATTTAACCATTTTTATATTTCTAACCCAAAAATTGGCAGAGATAAGTATAAAAGCGATCTTTATAATCATGTTTCTGCAATGTGTCAAATTTCAAATGTGCTAAATATTCGCTGTGGACATGATCATGGGGTGTTTTTTTCTTTTCTTCTCTCTGGAGTTTATTTTTATAGTCCATCATCAAAGTAACTTCCGGTTCACTTCTGCTTCCAGGTGGCTTACTTGACAGAGCTCAAAACGTGACCGATATGTGTCGTTGGCAAAAAGCTCAGAGACAAGAGCCAAAGAGCCGTGGAGAGCGTCAAAGCCCGGACACTGGAGCCCTGGAAAGAGAAGTGGGATTATTAAGATCACATAATAGTCAGGAGTTAATAAATGTGAATAAATTATGTTCTCAAATATAAGTCAAATGTTTTTGCAATACAAATTACTTTTAAAATGATTATTTAGCGGAATTTGAAAGCTATAGGAATCAATATGCCCCGGAAGCTGGTAACATTTGAGGTTATACATGAAAAAAAAAGCCTTACTGTAGAATAAACATCATTCTAATGTATTTAAAGCCACAGCTCTCCCTTCCACACACACTTTGTGCACACTCACACACTCACACTCCTGTGGTTGGTACAGACAGGAAGTGGGGACATGGTGAGAAAGATAAGAGTTGCCTTTTAAAGGGGCAGAAAAGTCAAACCAAACACTTTGCAATACATGTCTTGATGCCCTCTCAATCATCCAGGAAAGTAAATCTCCAAAAGTTGATTCTGTTCATCTGGACGTAGCGTTTTGTGAGAGAAACGTTTCGTCACTCATCCAACTGACTTCTTCAGTCTCAGCTGACTGCAGTTTTCCCCAATCTTAATCGTTTCTTCCACAAAACACTACGTCCAGATGAACAGAATCAACTTTTGGAGACTTTGCATTATATATCTATATAGACATAAGGTAGGGTACAGCCTTCATACCATAGACATCCAGTAAAAAAAAAAAATCTGGGGCGACTGAGTCAGATTCATTTCACTCAATGGGCCACATACATCCCAGTTTGATCTCCAGTGGGTCAGACAAATAAAAGGCATCAAGTTCAGGGACATGTTCTTGTTAAAGTATTTTTGAGCAACTTCTTAAGGCAATAGATGAAAACAGATGAGATATCTTGAAGAAAGTGATTAAAATTACAACCCTTAATCTCACTGGGGATGCTGGGATTACAGTTTACAGATTAGGCATAAAACCCTCACATGTACAGTTTCTTTAACAAAACAGTGAAAGTATTTTATCTCAACGCCTCACTATTTACACTCCTGTGCACAAGGTTAATACTGGCATCAGCAGGCTGTGTGTTATAGTGCATTTTGTGAAAAAGCAAAGTACTTAATGACTTCACTGCAGCTTTCACACTGGGTCTTTTCTAGCTGAGAACTCTGGCCTTGTACATGGCCTCACACCACACGACTGGTGCAAATACGATGTTAACTGAAAACACAAAGAACTGTGGTTGCTAACTTTGATGTGAGGGGAAGTAAGCACTCTCAGATGTTCTGTGCTTAGACTTCGGTTTTACACCCCCTCACTGCTTAAAAGCTATTGACTACTATAGTTTAACTGCCTTTTCAGCTTTGCTGAATCTAAAGTAATCAGTCTCTTCTCCATCTTCCAGCTGCTCCCTTGTCACAGCAGATTATTTGCATCCATCTCATCCTATCTGAAGCATCCTCCTCTGTCACACCAATCCTCTGCATGACCTCTTTCACTAGATCCATGAATCTTCTCTGAGGTCTTTCTCTTTTCCTGCTGCCTGGGATCTCCATGGTCAACATGCTTTGTAAAGTATATCCACCATCTCTCCTCTGCACATGTCCAAACCATCTCAGTTAACAGTTCACTGTTCTGTAGTGAATCCAAAACCCATCATGAGTACCTGCATAAAACAAGTCAGATCCCCATAACAACTTAATGTTTTCATCTTGATGCATGCTCAATCATCCAGGTAAGTTAATGTTTTCTTTCTTTCCCCTGTCATTCACCTATTGATCATGTTTACATATCCATTTGATCATTTTTGTGAAGACAGACAAGTTAAAAGAAGAGCTGATGCATATCTTTTTCCTCAAAATCAAATATTAGGATGTTTCCTTGGCAGAGGACGCCCGCTTTAAATGTCTTTTTACTCTCTTCACATTGTCTTTGCACAAATTAAACTTGTATCTGCTGAGACTATCAAACATACTGTTAATAAATTCAGAACATATGGTTTCCTTTTACATGTCACATTAAACTCTTGACGAGGCAACATTTTTAGTTTTCCAAGGACAATTTGACAGTTTACTTTCTTTCTGATGTTTTAGCAAAAGCAGACAAGCGCACAATGGCTGTGGGATTTAGTAAAATACTGGAAAACAAGCTATTTTTTCTCTTTCTCTTCTCTCTTTTTTGACCAGAAGATGGAGCTAACAGGCTGCAAATGTTCTTTAGAAGTTCTAATGCGCTGAGGCAGATCACACAGATCTTATCCCTGGTAACAAAGTTCAGAATGAAGCTGGCATCTTGTGTTTATATACAAAAGAGCAGATTAGTGATGTGGGGGGTGTCACACCAGAATCCTTCTATCAGCAGCAGTGTTAAAAACCTGACTGTCACTAAACTGTGAAGACTTGCAAAGTAAATCTGTAATCATAAAGATAATGATTTTGCTACCATGGAGTATATTCTGTATATTTGTCCTGATTCTGCTCTGTGACTTTATATCAGTAACTCAAAGTGACAGTTCATAAATCTATATAAAGTAGACGTGATTAATCTGGCTTTTTTCATTCAGCAGATATTCAGTTGTTTTGAATAGAGATATATAAACCCACCTGGGTGGATATACGACGCGGGGGGTGGCGCTGTGTCAAGCTGGGCAGAGTCTGTTATAGAAAGACGTGAACAGTTGCAAGTTTTCATTCAAAATAATAGACTGTTAGCCCGGCTGTCTTAGCGCAATAACAGCAGCTCGCAAGGTTAAGCTGCTTTTCTAGCATGACGCGGATGGAATACACTGAGCGTTAATGTTGTTTACATGGCCAGCACCACGTAGGCTTTAAATGTGAAAAGCCAAACAGGAATCTGCATTTTAAGGACGTGACTTTGACCGAAAGCATCAGCTGTGCGCCTCACTTGACTGGAAGAAGCAGTGGAGCGCAGCAGCGCGCAGAGCATGTAGCCGAAACTACACCAGACTGTGGAGTTGAAGTTTTCTTTTGTTTTCTTTTGTTTTTTTCTTTATCCGGAGTGTTTTATTCCATCTGTGGGAAGAAAAAAAACATTTAAAGCTGCTTTTCGACATTATTATTTGCTTGGAGCTAAATGACAAGGAGGTAGCGACACAGAAGCACTCAGTGATTTAAACAGGGGAAACCATGGAGAGCAAGGGATTACTTCGCTGTAAGATTGTGGTTGTCGGGGACAGCAAGTGTGGCAAGACGGCTCTCCTTCACGTTTTTGCCAAAGACTCGTACCCAGAGGTAAGTCAGCATTTATTAGAAATAGAAATACGCACAGCAGCCCTGAATGGTGCGACGGCACAGGTGCGTAAAGTCCCTGAAACCACGCGGCAGTGTTTTCACGTAGAGTGAGATCGCTTCAAGAAGGCTTGACATTGTGGATCATTGTGGGAACTGATTGATACCTAGTTAAATGTGTGGCCTGTAAACATTTATTATAATGTATTTGTGCCGCCAAAAATATCATGGAAGTTAAAACTCGAAGCTGTAAATGGATGTTCTCTTTTTTTCTTTTCTTTTTTAAGAAACATTATGGTGTTCTCGTTGTGTATTATTTCATCATGTCAGGATTTTACCGGGGTTTGTGTTAAGCCTCATCTAAAGTGATGCAACAGCATCATGTAAATTAATAACATTATTAGAATTCAGTGGCCAGTTATCACTGAATTTTTTTTTGCCTACGTGCGCTTTTGCGCACCGTGTCCGTCTGTTGATGTGGGACTTTGCAGGTTTGACCAGAACAACAGAATAACCGCCTGGGAGCTAGATTGTGTGTTGTGAGACGCGAGATATTAAACCCGGGAGTGTGTAATGTTTTATAGTGGTGACCGAAAACCGAATAGAGGCAAAAAGTTCGCACAAGTAATACTTTGTCTCTCAGAAGTAGTACTCTGTCTTCTTTACTTGATTACATAATTTTAATTACAGCAATAAGACATCTGAAGTAAGCTAATATA